TAGTTACAATATGTCAAGATCTTCGAATTAATTCAAAGATCTTCTATTTTAAAAAGATATTCGTTTTATTTTTTTTATTTATTGGATTTCAATAAAAAGCTACTCATTATCATCTACTCTTTTATCCTTTTGTTTGATTCTTAATTATAGTTCTTCTTGGATTTGATCTAATTAGTTTTATGAATTTAGCTTCAGAAGTTTTAATTGTTGTTTTATGCTTTGATTTTGTTTTGATGTCTCATAATGTTAGAAAGGTAAATGCTTTATGTTGTTAGTTTTTGATCCGTCATGCCATTGATCTACCGTCTTTACATGGTCCTAACTATCCATGATCAGAAACATGCTTAATGTCTTGGTCCAAATGAGGAATTAAGTAAGAAACTTGAAGGTGGAAGAACAATAAAAGACTAGCTTCAAAATTCTTTTTAGACGTCAGAGGTTTATATACATTTGCAAATTCGAGATCTATAATGCATTTGTTTTTCAATATCAGTTTTCCCTATTGCCTTTTTATATTCACGGTACAAGTTTGCCTAAACTTGCGAGTTACATTTTTCTCCAATGAAAAAACACAATCTCATTCTCATTAACTTTTGTTTTTCTTTACAGTTTGCTTGACAGTTACAAATTTTCATCTCCCAAAATAAGCACTAATGTATAGTTTGTGACAAAACTGTCTGTCCGTATAATCTCTTAATTTGTGTTTCCACACATCTCTATGATGGTCGGTTATGTCTATGTCATTTTGAATTGGATATATACTATGATACGAACGTCTTTTTCCTAGACAAGTTATGTTTTACTCTGATTCAAGATATTTTCACTTTTTCTTTGTTAATATATATCGTTTTTGAAGTTACTATGAGAAAAAAGAAGGATAAAAAAAGAGAAGACAAAAACAAAACTAAATAAAGAAGATATCTAAAAAGAATAAATAGACTTTAAAAAACTCATAGTGACTTCGGCTATAATGAATAACCTAGAAAACGTAAAAAATAAGATATTGAACAAGAAAAAGAAGGAACAGGAGAGGAACATTAAGAAGATAGACAAAGTAATACCTGAAAAACACAAAAAAAAAGACGAAGAAGATAAATAAAAAGAAGAAAAATATTAAAAACTAGAATAACGAAAAAGAAAAGATGAAGAAGAAGAAGACAAAATCGGAAAAAGCGAAGAAAAAGTCGAAAATGACAAATGGTTGCAAAGAAAAATATGTCATAAATAAGAATCATAGAAGAATAAATAGAAGAACAATGAAAAACAAAGAAGAAACTGAAGAATAGCACGAAGACATAGAAGAAGACAATGGAAAATTAGAAAAAAAAGATAAAAAAGTAAAATAAGACAAAGAAGACAAAGATGATAAAAAATTGAAGAATTTTTTTTAAAAATATATGTCGAGAAGGAAAATAAAAAGACAAAAAATAAATAAAAAATAAAAGTAGGTCATTACTATTTATTAACAAAGTTTTATTAATGACAAAAAAAATCTATTTATGAATCACCAAGGAAGAAGAAAAAAAAA